CTGTACAAAAGTATATAAAAAGTACCAAGCGTTTTTCTCAACTTTGACAACCTTATTCTGTAACAGATCTTACTAGAACATGATCAATTTATGCTCTTAAGGATACGGTAATCGAATGATCTTTATGATTGACTATTGTATTCTGAAACGTTTCAATGGATTTAATTAAAAAAACAAAATTGATACTTACAATTACGTGTAGATTTATTCCGTTTTCCTATTAATCCGTAACTAGAAAAGCGACTTAATATGTATCACATCATAAACTATGAGTGTATAATTTACATTTAAACAAATTCACACACATGACTTGTCATGTACACTAACATATTTTATTTTACACAGCTCGGTGTGTTTGTATTTATTTCTTCTGAAAATAGGCGCACTTGATTAGTTATATTAAGTGGAACATATCCAATGATTCGATTCTTAAAATGTATATGTAATTTATTTTTATATCTTCATGCTAAAATAATAATTGGTTAAAGTCAGATATATGTAATGTTCATTCGTGTGTATATTTATGTATGTATTGGAGAAGACGTTACTAAGTTGAAAAACTTGTGTCTAATCCATTTGTCATTTTGGAACAATAAAATACGTTCAAACTAAAAAATCATGATATGAATTTAAAGAAAAGAAAACCAAACACATTTTTTTTTTTTATTAAAATTGAAAATCCAACTGATTAAAAGTCGTATTGACCTCTAAAATTCTATCACAGAAAACAATTACTTATAGTATCTCAAAATGTCAAAATATAGCCCGTTTTATAATCGCGCAGTGGACATAATTGTTATATTTCTATTCAGACATTCCACATTTTATCAACCGTTTCAGAACTATTTTTGAAGATAACGAATCCGTGGTTTCATTGCACATTTAACGCAAAATACATTTTTCAATTCTTTATTTACACTCAAACACAAATATGTGTTACATGAGGACAAATTACAAATCAAATGCAATAAATGACAGATTGTGGCCAGTATAATGGAATGCTATGTAGCTGTCATACAAGTACAAGCTTTAGCAAGCAATAAAACCAGGTTTAATCAACCATTTTCTACACAAGGAAATGCCTGTACCAAGCCAGGAATATGACAATTATTTTCCTTTCGTTTGACAGGAAACTAGTAACTTATAAGTTATAACTAATAATAAAAGGTCTTTCGCCAATTCATGAGGGCGTGCCAAATTGTCACGAATGTCTAATCGGGTTTTTCTGTTGTTCAAAGTTTGACGTGCGGTGATGTTTGAACAGTGTTGAGTGTATTTTACATTTGTCATTTCGGAGCCTTTAATATCTTACTATGCTGTATGGATTTTGCTCATTGTTGAAGGCCGTACAGTCACCTTTGATTGGTCATTTCTACGTTATTCAGTCTCTGGTTAAATTCTCTCATTAGACATTATCCCATCATAGATGATCAGATGTGTTATAAAAAAGAAAACTACATTACCGTATCTCGGATATATATCTATTAAATAAAATAAAGAAAACTTTAGTAAGATTGAGTACAACAAAGGCTTTGCCTTATCAAATCCTTGATGCTGTCTCCTCCAGACTGTCAAACACCGTCTACCGTATTGTTAACGTGGTAATATATGTGATAAATTGCTGTAAATAATAGTAAACTGAGTATTTATTCACAGTACGCACTTCCTAGTTTAGTTGTGATGATAGAAATCTTAATATCATTGATATACAGTTGAGAAATATGGTGCAATTATTCAAATGTAGATTTAAACCTTATTAATATTAAACCCAATCCCGCATGCAGCTGTGGTCATCCTGTTGAGAATAGTATTCACTATTTTTTAAGTGCCCTTTTATCAACGAAGCAAGAGAAATATTGTTTTCAAAATTAGAAAGATCTACTATATCCATTTTGCTTTTATTAGTGGCTGGTGACGGTGACCTTTCATTTCACCAAAACAAAGAAATTTTTTAGTCTGTACAATCATATATCAGAAATACACTAAGATTTAGAACATTCAATCAAAATTCGGAATTCGTACTTCCCAACTCTTTACTCTGGTCCAGTTTTATATATTACTCTATATTATATTATACTTTTTGTTTTTGAGACAAGGCCATGCATAATTTGTCAAAAGACAAGCACAATAACCCCAAAGCGAATTGCGAGAAGTGGTTTCGTATTTCGTTATAGAAAAATATACTAATAGTTTATGAAAAATAACGACTCTCGTACGGTGTCGCGTTTATATCTTTTTAAAACATTGGTGCAATTTGATGCAAAAAATAATGACTATAAAATGTCAGGTTTGCGAGATCAGACAGTAACCTAACAACTAAACAATTGAAAATCTAGGGATCAATGTTTAACATTCGTCAGCCATGAGCAATTTTTATAAATAAAACATGATTTAGTAGAATACTTTGCGAGTAAAAAAAGAGACTACCATAGATTTGTTATTAACCACAAATGCTTAAGGGGTACAAATCAGTATTCAGGAGTTACCCTTTTTGCATTACACCACATTACAACAGAAATTAGAAAATAGGGCCTGGAAGTATTTCTAAGACATTGTTGTTTTCCTGTTCTATGTAGCTTTCTTTCTGGCAAACACGGTGTTAGATTTTATAAATGCTGACAGGCACCGACCATTGAAAAACCATCGAACTGTTTAAAATGAGAAATGAAAATAATTGTTTGGTTTTTTTTTGTTTTTTTTTTTATGGCAAATAAGAAAAATGACTGTTCGATTTAAAATTGTTTAAAATTATTTAGAAATAGATTTATGAAAATGATGTATTTTAATGCGAAAAGGCTAGACTTTAATTTGTGGTGTAGGGATGTGATTGAGTGGTTTTGTTTACAATTATTTCCCTTTATTTACGTAGTGAAAATCTGCAATAATTATTGTTTCATCATGTTGTTTGATTTTCACATTATAACAAAACCAAGAATATGACGGATGAATTTATAGTTAGCTGTTTAATGTCCAGTGGTCACTATTAGATGTATCATTAGGAGGACATTTACAATGTTATAAATATGAACAAGGTCAAGGTATCATTTGTTATGCAAACATGTGTATCACGGTACAAGCGATGACCTATAGACCCTGTGTATCATATGTATATTTAGGGTGGGTTGCTCTGAATAAAGGAGGTATAGATACAGGAAAATAAAGAATTTTTTTTTATTAAATTAGAATAGAGTATAACAGGCAAAATAAAGAACAGAGGAAAATGGTTTAAGAAAATTAAAGAATAGAGAGAAATGGTCTAGTTTTTTGACGGACAATCGTTGATGATTGTTTAAAGTCAAGTGCATTTATAGGTAAAATAATACACAATCGTTTGTACATTGGTAGGGATTTATGTTTGAGGTTGATGAGGCACATAATGAGTAATTGTTTTTATTTGAAATTTCTCGAATATTTGTTTTTATTTTCGTCTGATTTGAAAATGAATAAAAAAAATCTATAATCTAAAAAAAATGGTTTAATACTCAGCAGACTGTTACGGTAGTTTACTCGCACATTCACCAAGTCCGTATTTCTACGGTTAAAAAAAATCATAATTGTATCTTTTAATTTGTTTAAATTTATTTCAGTGTTTATTTTTCAAACTTTTTATGTAAATAATGTTGGATCAACATCATGTCAGATTAAATTATAATTTATTAAATTATTAATTAAAAACTAAAACATGCATCCAATCAAAATTTTACGCATATTATCACCTATATAAAAAGATTTAACAGAACAAAATTCATGTTTATATTAAAAAAAAAACATATACGCGAAACGAAACTATGCACGCCAAGAAACGATGTACGCTTAACGATACGATATACGCTAAACGAAACGATGTACGCTAAACGATACGGTATACGCTAAATGAAACGATGTACGCAAAACCATACGATTTACGATACAAGGTTATGTTATCGTTAATGGTATGGTTTATGGTACATGGTTTCGTTCGTACATCATTCGTTCACCGTCCGTACAACGTTCGGTCAGCGTTTCGTTTGCATTCGTACACCGTTCGGGAAGCGTACGTACATCGTTCGGGCATCGTCCGTACATGGTTCGGGCATCGTTCGTATTGTTAACTTTTACGTTACACGGACTGTACCTATTGCATTTATTGTTAATTTGTCCTCGTCCTAAATATGCATGAAATATTTGCCACTGGACGTTAAGCAACCAACAATCAATATGAATATCAAGCACAATCCCTCACCTTAGAGTTTTAGAATCATACCATCATAAAATATATGAGAAGAACATAATCCGTATCATGCCAGTAACTGCTTTAGAATACATGTGTTTATTTCCAAGGCAAAGATCCTATGAGAGAATCTATATTAATACCAAATAAAGGCAACAGTAGTATACCGCTGTTCGAAAACTCATCAATCGATAGAGATAAAAACAAATCCGGGTTACAAACTAAAACTGAGGGAAACGCATCAAATATAAGAGGAGAACAACGACACAACAAAAACACAACATTAAAATGTAACACACACAGAAACGAACTATAATATAACAACGGCCATTCTCCTGACTTGGTACAGGACATTTTAAGAAAAAAATGGTGGGTTGAACCCGGTTTTGTGGCATGCGAAACCTCCCGCTTTAATGGCAACGTCAAACACACCACCAAAACGACAACATCACATGACAGGACCACAATACAAATAAATGGGAGAACATATAGGACAAAGAAACACACGAATAATAGCTAACAAAAGGTACTAGGCTTAAAATTCAATACGCCAGACGTGCGTCTCGTCCACACAAGACCAACCAGTGACGTTCAGATGAAAAAAGTATGGAAGCCAAAACAAGTACAAAGCTGAAGAGCACCGAGGACCAAAACTTCCAAAAATTTGCGCCTAACACGGCCAGGGTTTTCTGCCTGGGACAAGAACATCCTTATTATTTAGAATAATTTATAATTTTGCAAACAGTAAATTTTATAAAATGACTATTGTAATGTCAAAGATACGCTGAAACCTGAGTTACTATCTTTTATTGCAGACCTCCAGAGAGGGTAAAAAACTGAAAATATACAAAAATGAAATCTAATAAGCACAATGTTCACAAAATAATGGTACAATTAATATCAACAATGTTCTCTATACATTGAAAAATATGTCTATCTTATGAAACAACCAAAAAATGATCAAAAAGTGCCATAGATTTACATCTTAGATAACAAAATTATAACACGAAAAGCGTTCTATACACATACTGTTTTAAGAAAAAACGTACGCCGAAATATATGGCTCTATTGGCGTTCCATACAAAAAATATTTTGACAAACTGACGGAGTAATATCAAAAATCGAGAATTAAGAAGCTTAAATTGACTAGGACTGGTGTATAATAAATGCAGGAATAAAAATAACCATCATATAAACATCGGAATGCTTAATTTAACATGTAAAATACAAAATAAGTGTGACATGAGATATGACTCCTGAGAATTGTTTGAAATCACAATTAAATTCAAAAGGACTGACCTTAGACTTTAAATACGTATATCGGACATACAAATGAAGGTTATAAACTACAGTATAACAAAAACTCACCCTGTGGAGGGTTGAATACCAAAGAAAAGTTTGTTTATCTTTGCCGTGTGGCAGACATCAAAAATAAAATTCGACATAATGACGGACAGATCCGTAATTTCCGGAGTGTGACATAACACTCCCCCTCTGATTTCAAAACTGAAATCACCAATTCATTAACAAATTTGAAAATAACATGAACAAATTATCAATGCAAAATGTAATAACTGTTATAAAATGATCTGACTATCCGAAGATTCAACGAGTTAAAATTATAATCATTAATCTGTTTCACTTTGTTTTAGTTCCACATGCTCTACCAACATTACTAGTTCGTTGATTGGTCTAACATAACTAACTGCTTTCCCATCACGCACAACACGAATTTGAACCTTTCTGACTTTCTGATCAAAACTAGGGAATGTCTTTTCAACAATTGCGACTGGCCAATAGTTGCGAGCACATTCACGGTCTCTTAAGAGTACTAAATCGCCTTCCTTCATATTACTGTATTCACTGGTCCATTTTTGTCGAGTTTGTAGACGGTTTAAATATTCGTTACGCCAGCGGTTCCAAAACTCTTCTGCTAGAACCTGAGTGTGCTTCCATAGAGATTTCAACATGTCTTTATTTCCGAATGTTGGAAACGATACATTGTCCTGATTTTTTTTATGTGTGAGAAGCATTGCTGGACAAAGTACACATGGTGATTCTGGGTCGGTTGACACCGGGACCAAGGGTCTCGCATTTACAATTGCTGTTACCTCCGATAACAGGGTAGTAAGTACTTCATGAGTAAGAGTTTTTGAACCTTCTCGTAGTAACATAGAATCTAAAATCTTTCCTGAAACACCAATCATCCTTTCCCACACTCCTCCCATGTGGGAGGCGTGTGGAGGATTAAATAGCCACAAGACGTCGTTGTTTGAGAGAAAACTTCTCACAGAGTCTTTTTCAACAAATTCAGTGATCATATTTAGCTCTTTTGAACTGCCAACAAAGTTTGTTCCCCTATCAGAACGGAACTGCTTAACTTCACCCCTTAAGGCAATGAAACGACGCAACGCATTTATAAATGAAGCACTGCTGAGCTCCTCTATGACCTCTATATGAATTGCTCTGCTGACGAGGCATGTGAACATAAGTGCCCATCTTTTCTGATTAGCTGGTATGCCACGAGTGCGTCTATAAGCTATGGGCCATGGGCCAAAAGTGTCAACACCGACGAATGTAAATGGCGGTGATGGTTTTAATCTGTCCTCAGGCAAATCTGCCATTTGCTGCCAACCGAAACAACCACGAAGCTTACGACATATCACACATTTATGAAGCACTGAAGAAACTAAACGACGACTGCCTGAAATCCAAAAACCAGCTGTACGGATAGCACCATCTGTGAGGCTTCTGCCTTGATGAGCCACTTTTTCATGGAAGTGTCGAACAATAAGTAATGATATATGGTGGTGTTTTGGTAAGATAATAGGATGTTTTGAAAGATCTGAACAATCTTTGTAATTTCGCAAGCGACCACCAACTCTTAAGGTATCATCAACATCAAGTATGGGCGATAGTTGCGAGAGAGAACTGTTGTTATGTAACGATGTTCCCTGTCTGATATTGTCTATTTCGTTTCTATAATTTTCCATTTGAACCTCACGAATTATGAATTTTTGGGCTCGTTTCAAAGCATCTGGTTGTTTGTATGCATCTAAATGTTCAGGTTTATCGTTATGATGTGCCAGATTTCTAACAAGTTGTTTCAATAAGGAAATTGCTCTGACTAAAGTTCTCCATTCTGAAAATGTTGAGAATCTATGTTTTCCTAATTTATGTACATTATTTCGATCTACAGTTTGTGTTTTAGCTACTTGCACATCTGGGCGAATCTCCTTGTCACTATCAGCATCAACCAACTGATGTGGACCATTATCTAAATTTCCAAGGGACACGTTATAAAGAAATACTGGTCCCTTCATCCATATACTATTCGATAACTCTGCAGGGTTAATTCCTCGTGTTGCGATATCTGCCGGATTATTTTCGGTTGAAACATGTCTCCATCTTTTTGGATCACAAGAGACTCGAATTCGTCGCACTCGGTTTCCAACGTATACATGAAACCTCTTTGACTCATTTGTCAAGTAACCTAACACTATTTTGCTGTCTGAGTAAAAGTACATTTCACTTTGATCTATACTTAAATGCTCTTTGACAAGATCAGATAATTCTGCCGCAAGAACAGAGGCGCACAGTTCTAATCGAGGAATAGTATTCCCATGTGAAGGCGCAACCTTCGCCTTTCCCAATAAAAAACTAACCGTTACATGGTGTGAGTCAATTAATCTCAAATAAGCCACCGCACCTATTGCCTCTTTTGAAGCATCACAAAAGATATGAACTTCTTTGTTCGAAGCTTCTGCATAGGAGATGTCACTATACATACGCGGAATACAGCATTGCTCAAGATCAGGTAACGTATTATTCCACTGTTTCCATGGATGTAGGTAAGTATCAGGTGATGGGTCATCCCATTCAGTGTGTCCTAGTGAAGTCATCATATCACGTAAGAGAAGTTTACCACGAACTGAAACAGGGGCTGTAAAGCCAATCGGATCAAAAAAAGAGTTGATCGTTGATAATACGCCATGCTTGCTAAATGGCTTGATGTCATGTGCTACTTGAAAGGTAAAACAGTCAGTGTTAATATCCCAAGCCATACCTAGGCTTCTTTGCAAAGGTAAACAGTCATTTTAAAATTTCAGATCTTTGAGATTTTTAGCCAGATCATCAACGGGAAACTGGCTTAACAAATATTTGCTATTTGAGGCTATTTTATGTAACCTAAGATTACCACCACTTAACAATGCGTTTTGTGTTCTCTTAACTAAATCAACAGCTGTCTCAACATTTTGACACGACAATAGACCATCGCCCACGTAAAAGTTGCGATCTACAAACTCCTTCACATCTTGATCAGCAGTTTCAGCAGATTTCCTAAGTCCATAAGTTGCCACTGACGGCGAGGGGCTGTTGCCAAATACGTGAACAGTCATACGGTAATCAATCAATGGTTTTTCAATGTCATTTTCAGTATGCCAAATAAAACGAAGGTAATTACGATGCTCTTCACTGACTTTGAAATTATAGAACATCTGTTCGACGTCAGCAGTTACCGCTATAGCCTCTTTTCGAAAACGAAGCAAAATCCCTAACAGGCTGTTCGTGAGGTCTGGTCCCTTTAACAGAATGTTATTTAATGAATGACCATTACACACTGCGGATGCATCGAATACAACTCTGATACTGTCAGGTTTTCTGGGGTGATATATCCCAAACATAGGTAAGTACCAACATTCAGACGATATAGCCAATGGTGGCGCTATTTCAGCATGACCATTTTCGATGATTTTCTGCATGAATTGTATGACATGTTCTCGTTTTTTAGAATTAATTTTCAAGCTGTAATCGAAAGATTTTGCTCTCTTTAAAGCTAATTGTTTGTTGTTTTCTAATATTGGCCGATGCTCACGGAAGGGCAATGGAGCAACCCAACAACCATCTGAATCTTTAACAAAACCTGAATTCATGATCCTCAGGAATTTATCGTCTTCGATTGATGATCCAAATTTTTCATCTTTGTCAGTTGTACGGAAAACGTTCGTATCTATGAGTAATTCATTTTGACAAGGTTTAAGAAAATTAGCACGGCCATTACTCAAAATGGTAGTCTTGTTCACATTTACGCAATCTAGAATGCCAGGCGGATGAGTTTTCCCGAGACACACTTCACCAATTATTGCCCACCCTAAAGGCAGCTTCTGTGCATATGGGAGGTTACCTTTGCCAAGACGCTGATCGAGTACATGGTGTACTGATATCAAATCTCTTCCTATCAAAAGATCAATCTGTGCATGCTCATCGATTTCAGGAATGTAAGGAGCAATGTCTACAAGATGAGGATACTGAATAGCCACATTAGGCGACGCTATTTCCTGTCTATTGTTCGGAATATCATTACATTCGATGATAGTTGGTAAATCAAACACACAAGACCCATCTAAAGCTTCTACCACGTAGTCCCTAGCTAAACGTCCAGATGTTGTGAATTTTCCTGCACAAGACGACAAAACATATTCAGTTTCAGGTCCATTATCACAAAACAAATAAAAGAAGTTGGAAGTGGCCAATGACCTGTTACTTTGGTCATCTATTAAAGAATGCATCATGCGTGATTGTTCGGGTTTTCCTTTTGGATACACTTTTACTAGCATTAGTTTTGAACATGACTTACTTGTGCCAGTTACTTGACCACATATTTGTGTGCATGCTGTCTTGACTTCTCCTGATTCATTCTCCCCCTCGTGAGATTCTGGGGGGTTGTTATTTTTAATACTTTCTATATCGGTATGTAAACCAGAAGGGTGTTCCCCGACTCTGACAGACTGAACATTTCAAGAACTCTTTGCAGTCTCTTCTTAGATGGCGCTTAGGCCCACAACAGCGAAAACAAATTCCATTCTTTTTTAAGAACTCCCTTCGTTCTGAAATCGGTTTCATGCGAAAACCTCTACAATCATTCAATAAGTGACTTGTTCCATGCACAGGACATACCAAGTCTGAACTTTTTACTTTATCTGCTAACGGTTTCAACACTGATGTTTCAGTACGTGCACAAGATAACTGATTTCTTGTGTTTCCATAACGATTGTTTGTTGCATTAGTAGTATTCTGTACTTTGACTTCTCGACAATCCTCGAAGAAAAAACTGGGGTCATTTTTCATTTTTGCCATCCTTTGCAAAAACTTGGTGAATACTGTGAATGGTGGATATACCAAGTGGTTTTGAATCTTATATCTGGTGGCCTCTGATGTCCACTTTTCTTGGATATTATATGGAAGTTTTGCTATAATAATATTTACGCCAGCCGATGAGTCATAAACACTAAAAATACTTCTATACATGTCATTCTCTTTAACTGCTTCTATTTCTGAAACTATATCAAAAAGCTCAAATAAACGTTTGTTGTCTTTATTACTTATTTTGGCAAAGTTATTGAGTTTCTTACGCAAAGCACTTTCTACAATTTCTGGACTTCCAAATCTGTCTTGAAGTCTAGCCCAAATCCTGGCTACGCCTCGAGATGGGTTTCCTGCATTAGCTGCTCGAATGCTCAATGCTTGTTTGCAACTTTCGGGTCCCAACCATTTAACCAATAAGTCTATTTCTTCAGACGGAGTAACGTTTAATTCACGCATTACATTTGTAAAACTAGCTTTCCAAGCTAAGAAATATCCAGGCGTGTCATCATATTTACAGAGCCTTGATAATAACAAGTCTTTTTTAACAATGAATTGAGTAAACTCCCTACATGCGTCTGTCTGAGTAAACGTGGCAGTAGGGATTTGACTTACTACTGCTGGTATAAACGTAGGTGCATCAACATTTAAATTTTGAGTTAAAGGCGTATTGTCATTTTGATCAGTTTGTTTTAGTATGAATTCTGAAGTACGTCTTTGGATGTCTTCTTTATTTGGTTCTGAAATAGCACAATCGTCATCAAAATTATCATTCAAGACTCTGAGTTCACATTCAGCTTCCTCTATATCACGTTTCAGAATTAAAAGTTTCATGTCTGCTTGTATGGCTGTTTGTTTACG